TTATACGATAAAAATATACTCATAGTAGTGATACATAAATGGATCCCATTCATTATTCTTGCCGGGACATAGAACACACCTCCCATTTTTTGAAGATCCGGAGTTGATATCCAGATTTTAAATTTTCCGAGTTCATCCTCCTCCGCCAAATAATATTGGGTCCTCATATACTCAAGTCACAATTAAATTGATTTTATTTAAAACATATTGAACAGAGAATCTAGTAAAATTGACCAGATAGTGAGGATAAACGCCATTTAATTCGAGGTCATCAGAGTTTGAATCTTCTGAAATATTGTTATCAATTTTATTGGGAGCCTCATTTGTAGATAATGGATCATTAAGGTAATCAGCATCTATCAAAATCGTGTTAGGTTTCTGATCATTTGATGCATCTGACTTGTTTTCTGGTAAAAGAGAATCTCGATAATAAAATTCGTCAGAAACTTCTGTCGCAGAATGATGAGATCCATTTGGAGCAGCTGCATTCAGTGTGCTGCTCGATTTATTTTCTGTTACATAAGGGGTTATTGCGACAATTCTATGAACATTTAACAGGGTATCTGTTTGTGAGCTGGATAAGTCACTGTCTGCACATGCTGTTTCGAGGATAATGAAGTTTGAATCCATTACCGGGCATGTTTCAGAAATGGAGAGTACTGGACCACTGGGCGGATCTTGAGTGACTGCTGTATCGTTTGAAATACGGTTTGTCGAGGATTCATGGAGGCTACAATCATTTTCCAGCTCAGTGTGCAATTGAGAAATTAACCCATCCTTTTCCGGTGCATCTACAAAGCATGAGTGATTCTGAAGCTGTGTGCGTAAATTGACTAAGAACTCCAATTGTCGCTCAAATAGCAGCTGTAATCGATCGGAAGGCAGAGTCATTATCTAAATCATCACCGGTAATGAAAATTACTGTATCACTAATGACCAATGTCGTTCAGGGACACCAATGGCAAACCTGGATGCTGATTGCTCGAAATAATTAGACTGAATTTCGTCCAATTACCCCGTCGACAATTCTTATAACTTGTGACATGAGTGCCCTGTTAATGGATAAGTCATGATACCGCCAATTGGGGACATAACACACTGTCAAACAAAACCTGGCTTTACTAAAAATTGTGACTAAACGGAGATATCGAGGTAATCTGCATAGAACGCACACATACCATACAAAGAGATTGATAAAGTTGGTAAGTTCATAGTATCAACAACTGCGAAATATAAATCCTTACAAATAACTCGATTGAAGAAGCTTACAACGTATTTTTCTGTCTTTACATGAAAATCTTTCCCAACTGAACATCATCTATCTTAATCACAAGAAAAAAATGTTTTAAGGTCGCCTCCTTCACTTATTATGGTAGCTTAGTTAACTATGATTGATTGGTGGTTGACAATAACTCGACACTGATATCCAATGTGACTTGTTTCTTTTACAAAAATCACATATGGTGTTAGTAAAATGTATGGTGTATTTTACTACTGTAAATTCTGCTTTATATTACCCTATTTCAGTGAAGTATGGTCTTCAAAGTTAAGAGACCTGAGAATTTCTTTAATGGATGACTGTTCCATTGACTAAATACATTGAAGCCACTGAGTAGTGCTGTTAGGCAAATGTATGTAAGTTATTCAGTGTAAAGAACATTCATTAGCTATAGTACTTAAGACAAGTTACACAAGCCAATAGCATAAACAATCTCGGGGTAATATACTGTCTAATGTAAATGAAGGAGATAAATAAAAATAGGTCTGTTAAGTAATAGTTTACTAATGTCAGTCAGTCTGCCTCTAATCGCAAATATAGAGCTTAAAAGGTGACTCGCTGTTTTCATATGTGTAGTTACTCCCTACTTATGCTATTCAGTAAATTAATAAGCAGTAAAAAGATGAGAGATGAAGAATTTAAATAAATAGTCCTGAAAGCCAAGCCTCTAACGACCAAAAAATAGAACATTTGGAAGCACTCAATTGACGACAGTTAGTGTGTGACTAGGATAGATTAAAATCTGCACAAGGTTGCAATCGTTTAACCTGTGATTAACGTGTACCTATCCGAAGAGCAAACAAATTTCCTATATTCAAACATTCGAAATCTATGGTCAACACTCCCTTCAGCCCTATGACATTTATCAAGAGCGCTTTTTTTAAGAGATAATGTAATTGGTAATAGAACTCAACTTCAATTACCTGCAAAATATATTCTGCTAGGGTGTATGCCCAAATAAACCATTTTAACTTGACCTAAAGGCATGACAAGAGATAAATGGCTATCAACTGAGGTCTGGTCAGGTAACGAAGCTTCAAGTTTAACTCTTAGTTTTTTTAACTTTAAGACCGAACCTGGTACCAGAGGATCTCCAAATGAGCACAAACGGAAGTTACTTTTGCAATCAACAGATGAAAAGAATCTCACAGTTGAGTTTCAACAGTACAGAGTGCTTCAGGAGAAAGCCTTTCCAAAAATTTAGTAGTCAAACCTGTTTGCTTTCCATTGTAAATCAATTTGTAAAAAATTAAGGATGAAAGCTTAAATACCACAAGTGATTCCATAATATTTAAGCCCAGCTTGTATTGAAAAAGAGCATTAAGAAATAAAACAGATTGAACCTTTAAATAATCGATAGATACATGATGAAATTCAAATGAGAACGAATGTAAGAAAACAGACAATACAATATCTCCAATAGATCAGATTATTGGATTAGGTGTTTATGTTTGAGAAGCACTAAAAAAGTGTTAAATACTCTCAAATCCCTATTTATGTCACATAATAACGCATCTGATAGCAGAGATTATATCAAAAAAGTTAACCGATTAAGATATCACCTCCCAAACCTCCGGTCAATATTTCAGTGAAATTAAAGTATTAAAACAAACCAATCAGGTTCTAGATAACATTTTCGAAATTCTTCAGCGAGATTCATCCATTCAAATGGGATTTTGTCCGTCACAGGTGATGTCAGCTCGTGATGAAAACTCTAACCTTAATTTCTTATCCCAACTCTCTACTAACCCTATTTTGAACCAGGAAATAGTTGAGACTTTGCAAGATCATATTTAAAGTCTCCTACCGTCTTCCTCATCCATCGATACCGCTAATATTTCTGATTCATGAGGTAATGGGACAAATATCAAAAGTCGCATCTTCAAAACAAAGTTTTACTACAGCAAATTCATACATAATTCCCTCTTTATCTTTGCAGATTACCAATTCAAAACTTTCCAAATGCTTTACATAGACACTTTATATCTACTGATAAGGTTTAATGTTTGAATAGTTCCATTGGTGATCGTTTTAGTGACTAATGATTAGCGATCATACGACTTTAGAAACAATGTCAGTTTAATAAATTCTATCACGTTTACCATAATAAGAATCATATTTTTTTCTCTAAATAAAAAGAATCGATGATAGAAATCATTGAAACTCTCATAACTTAACTGATAGATAGTTTACATTATAAATCTTAATCAGTATGAATCGTCAACTACATTGATTGTTAGAATGAAATGATATAACCAACCAAGTAAACCTTTATTTCTATTTAAAATACCTTATCACATCTATTGAAAGGTGATTCTGAACATAGAAATCTTTCTGCAAATACTACGGAAAAAAATACTCAAGGAATTCTAATATGTAAACTAACACACACACACACAAGTACATTTACACAATATTGTCAGTTTATATTTGTAAATGGTTAATGTAATACAATGCATATTCTGTCTGAAAGGCAAAAAAGCGCTATAGAGAACATTGAAAAAAGGCGTAAATAATTAAGCAAAATTTCCAAAGTAAACGAAAAAGAAATAATGTAGAACAATCTAAGCTACTTAATTCGATGCAAGTAGCACGAGTAATAGCAGATAAATTAAGCAGTAAACACACAGTGGGTAATAATGAGGTAAATAATAAGTAACAGCACAAAAATAAATAAAATAAATAATTCAAGATTATTCTACAAATGTACATTATTTTATTTTAAAAATATAAAATAATTAGGTAATACAGGATAGTCAATATCTAATAGAGAAGGAACTTGAAGTACTCTGTACAACTCCAAGTTTGTGAGTGTGTGTGTGTGTATATATCTGTTGATGTGTGAGAGCATTTGAAATACATTGATCTAATAGCTAAAAAATGAAAGACAAAAGACCGCGGAAAATACAAACTCAGAAAACAAGAAAAACCTCTATTTTGATAGTGACAAGATAAAAAAAAGAGTAAAAAGTCAAGTAATATTTGCAAATCATTTACAAATGTAAACCGAGAGTTGAGTTTTAGTCAGTTTCTTTTTGTAGAAGATATTCAAAATAGGCGTACAATACACAAAGATGGTCATTATCTTTATTTTACAAAAATGGTAACGATTTAAAATGTGTATAATTTGATAATTAGAAATAGCCTTCATTACTACAATTACCGCTACTACCACTGCTATCAATGTGGTGTGTGCTACTTATATTGATATAAGTAGTATATGATGTTAGTCGTGAACAGAAGGACTGGTAGCAGAGAGACAAGAGGATTGAACAGTAAAGAATGGAAGCAGGATGCAATTTGTATGAAAATGCAAGAACAATGAAGTTTGAGTCATTTTGAGACACTCAGTGGACATTTTGCAAATTAAGCATTTACTTTATGATAGATTTTATCAACAAGTCCTGTAATTTTGTGTTAAATACATTCGATTGTCTTCACTGGTGTTCTTGTTCACTACATCAATACAACTTATGAACACATAATTGGATGTGATAGACGGTCAACAAATGCATATTGTAAAAACTAATAAACAACTAGAGAGAAAACAGGCAACAACAATAACAGCTCAGACTACGTCTTAGCAACAACAAATATGTATCGTGTTTAGAGAGAGATCATAAGAATTTATGATGTAATATCCATAATAATTTGGTTCTTGTTTAATAAATAGATGGTAACGAAAGAAAATAATAATTATCAATGATGAAAAGAAGAAAAATTATTCATCAATTAATATCCATTGATGAAGTAAATGTTGAAATTGATGATAAACAGTGAAACTAATACCTGAAGCTACTGGCCCTTTAATCCAATTCACTGATAAACCTTTATATAATCCATGAATAAAACCTTCATCTTTATATACATATCGTAATGTTTTATATACACTTTCTATGTATTCTGGATGACCTAGTTAATTTAGATAGATAATAGAAAAGTAAAAAAAAGTATTATATACGATGAATAAAATGTGATTAATAACTTTGAAATGTTTGCTTATTTGGTTAAGGTGTTTGATATCTTACCGCTAAGTCACAGGTACAAACTTCCCTCGTTTACATTTCATTTATTTGTGATTTGGGCAAGCAAGTAAGTAATACTAGATCGAACATTAAGAACGTAAAAATGAAGTTAAATACACAAAACTGTCTATGCCGGACAGATGAGTAGGTAAATACTGAATAATAAGAAGCATATATTGTTAGCTGTTAAAGTACATCTGTAGAGTGAATAGAAATACATGAGTACACATTTCGACAGATTAGGCTAGATCTATCTCTTATAAAAAAAACACATCGAAAGATCTAGCCAATATTATGTGGCTACGGTCAAATACATGAAGGAGAATAAGAAAATCAATAATTATGGGTTATTTTTCACTGAGTCACAATCAGAAGTGTTCTTCTACGCGTTGGATATATGTCAATAAGTGACCTATGCACCTAGTTCCATAAGAGATGCTAAACAAGTCACATTCACATATCCAGTGTACTTTGTCCTTTTACTCAGATGCATACCAGTAAGAGGCTAGTATAACATATTTATACAAGCGGTTGTATAGAATATTCGTCTTCGTAAACTTTCCAAGCAATTAACAAGTTGAACCATAATATCATCCTTGAGTTCAAAATGATCATTTTTGAGTGATCTCAGATTTATATAGTTTAAATTTAAAACCAATCTTAGCTAAACCACCACTGAAAATATGTAGAAACTAAAAGACAATTTCGTTCTAGTATAAGACTGCTTAGCGATATACATTCACATACCCGCGCATCCTGGGATCAGATCGAGGACATTCGGTCTCGCGTGAGAATATTTAACCTGTAGATCATTGAACCGGTAACCGACAGTGTTAATGTATAACTTCAATCAACTCACAATATTGCACAACCCTCATCTATTGTTTGTAGTGAATAACTGTCTTACACCCGACACAAATTAAGCTCTAGTGGTCATAGATTCGCGCGAGGACTCCACGAATCACACCATAAAGCCAGTCGTTAGTCAGCACATGATAATAAATTAGCATAGGGGGCTTACTTAAAATCGGTTAACAATAACCACTATTCAGAAAAAAATCATTTTTGAAGGCTTGAAATTCTTCTATGTATGTTTTTAAGACGCACGTAGTGAAAGAACAGATCAGACTTCTCTTACTGTTCATAGAGACAAAACCATTAAAATTCATCATCTCTCCATTCAACGTAAGTGGTTGTCACTATCGTCTCATTTTGTTTTATCTTGTGACTAAACGAGCTAAAATCGAAATCTGAGATGTAAATTACTTTTTTAGCGCATATTGGAAAGACGTATGACATTCGTTGAGTGCTTTCAAAGTAATAACCTTTCTTGCAAGTAATAAAAATTTTGTCAATAAATCTCTTGGATATGTTAGCCTCACAATTTCTCTAGGGCAAACTTGCTAAGCAGAAACTAGTTGGAAATGGACCTAGGGGTTATAACATTGCAATATTATCCATTAATTACTAGACCTTATTATTAAAGCTGAGCTCAAACTACCGAGTACATTTGAAAATCGACTCCTTCTAGTAAGATGTTGATACATTTATACTTAATTTGCACGTATCACACATATGAAATCACATATAAAACATAATATATCAATAAATAGAACGTTCCTAAATGAAAATCGAAAACTAACTAGACACATCTGATCGTAAATAAGATCTCTAGGGTTGAAGTATGAAAGAGTTAATCAATTTACGGTTCCCAAAAATGTGAAAAGATATTTCATACTGAAGTACCTGAGGAAACTGGATTAAATTTGGTCGCAGTGACTTGGGAGCGTGACTGCAGAGCCCAAAAATCTTATTATTATTATTTTTATTTATTTATTATTTGAACACATAGATATTGGTACAAGGAGGCACCAAATACATATGCGCAATACAAATCTCATTCGATTTGTGTGAGGGCTGTGATATTGCCCGGCTGCACAAACCGAAGCAGTTGGTTTTCTTAGGAGGCCACACCCCGAACCTTTGACCTAAAGGTCTAATCCAACGTCAAGAGATGCAGTCCCATAGAAGCTGGTGACCAAGGATTGGTTCATACACCATTTGTTCCCTTAGGATATTGGAGTCCATGTGCACCATTGGTTTGGAATCAGGGTTTTCCGACTCCCATAGACGGACCCTCATATCCACCGACGCGAATAAAGCGCCAGACATTCGCCTTTCGTCCTTTCAATTTCGTAAACAGTAGTGCCGCGAGAAGGTAGTGAGTAGGACATCCCTGGCAGAGGCTATATACGCGTGGCCATGTGAAAGCATTTCGAGAGGGTGAGCGGACTCTCCCCACTCTCGGCCGTATCAGGGTATTTGGGGGCCCAAAAATCTACTTGAGGTCGATCAGAAAACGTCTTTCTGTGAGAAATTTAGAGGATTAGCTCCGTGTTTCAAAAGACCACAGAAATCCGTGGGGTATGAGATTTATAGAGCTAACCTTTTAACGCCATCTTTTCGTTGTAAGAATGAAGTATGTATGCAGATGCTGCTTATCTGAGGGAAACACCTTACTGCTCTTACCCCTCAGTACAATCAGCAGTGCAATTTCGCCTACAGATCTTAAGTTTTCTGATTTTCATCTTATTGCTCCCTAACCGACCTACTCGGAATAATACGATCTAAAAGAATAAGTGTTCCAGCTAAAATAGCTCGACTGCATAGTTACGATAGGTAACTCCGACCACTACTTCAAGGTAGTAGTTACGATCGGAAACACTTCATCGAACAAGGTCAAGTTGATCAGTTCAATATGTTTTGAAACCTTGAAGATTTATTAGGCTATCACATAAAATCAAGTGAAATCTATTCCATGAAGTATTTTATTATTAGTTTCATCATCAAATACCTGAATTTACCATATAATCTTTCTTGGTCAATGAACATTTTTTAATTTTACACGAAAATCATTCGTAACTTATTGTGTAGAGAAAAGATATCAAATATCAAGTTAATTTAACAGTCAACTTTATCAGAATCTTCAAGATTTATTTTAACAAGTTAAAATATATTGTACAAATAAATGTATACAATGGTACATTAACGTACTTTTAATTGTATACGTATTATTTGTTTTTGAACTAGTTTTAAACACATTGAGAGCAATAAATTAAGAGATCACTTGACAGGAATGTTATTGTTTTTTTCTTGATGTATAATGGATGGTTTTAAATACTTTTATCCCTTTCACATATATATATTATGATATGTTAGTACGATGAGACTAGTGTCACGATGTTATATCAGATCCAGGATTCATAAACCAGAATAGAAAACCTAAGTACAATCTAGATAATACTTGATTCAATAAAATTACAAGTAATGTATCTCAATGAGTTCAGAGTAGTAAATCAATGAAAGGAAAGGAAATCACATATATTTGACCGTCTAGTTAAGTGCATATTTATCCACGCTTAGTGAGCAATCATATATGAATTTCAGTATCACACATCGATTTTTCGCTTTAGCTTTTGGATTAATATTATGAAACCCGACCGTTGTTGCTACCTTGACGAGGTGGTCGGGTTTGCCTATCGTGATGAAGCGACCGAACTATACTGCCTGGAACAACCGCTCCTCAAGGTCCGAAGGCGAAGTCGTACTTCCGACTGTACAGAGGTGTGACAGCAGTAAGGTGTTTCCTTCAGACAACCACCATGACAGCGATGCTGCCTTCCCACAAGGAGAGGTGGGGTTAGAAAAGGTCGAACCTAAAAATGCACACCTCGCCTTATTCCACGGATATCCGTCTCCAGCGGCAAGGTCTCAACAAGTACGGAGCTAACACAAAAATTACTCATAAAACAGTCGGGTGTGACCTACCTCAAGCAGTTGTCCCTTGGGCACTGCGGTCACGCTCCCAGGTCACTAGGACCACCTCTAATCCAATTTCCTTTTCAGGCACCTCCAGAAGAACCTTTCCACGGTGTGGACAATCGGGAAGTGATAACCGCCCTCATACCTCTAACAGCACTCAAGACCACTGACTGAATACTATGAAACACTATAACAAAACAATAATTTTGATAGACCGAAGGTCCTGGATTTGAATCTCGCGTGCGGGATCGTGGGCGCGCACCGCTGAGAAATCCCATACTACGACGGAATGGCCGTCCATTGTTTCTAGGTTTTCAATGGTGACCTAGCTTACATCGATCCATGGATTCAACTATTAAAATTACTGCAATCTCCACAAACCCTATTCTGATCATAATACGATAATTATCATTGTGATTTTTTCCATAATACTGTCGTGAACGAGAACACCAATGAGGACAATTAAATGTATTTTAATACATTACAAAATAACTTGGTAAAATCTGAGAACCATACAGTGAATACTTCATTTCCAAAGTATCCATCAACTGTCTCAGACTTTGTTATTCCTTCATTTCCATATCAATCACTCTCTGTTCTCGTTCTCTTCTCTTCGAATTCTCTTAACCTTTGCCATCAGGCATTCCACTTTCGATTGGTAATACATGCAACTTATATCTGTCGTCATCAGTAGCACACACCATAATACAATCAATTATTTTTATATTAACTCTGATACATAAAAAGAGTATATTTTTAACTGGTTCAAACACATTTATGATTAAGAGTAGATAGAGTATATTAGTGGTCAAAATTTATTCAACTTTCAATAATTAACTCTTAAGTTAAATCTCGCAGATAACACTGATTTTGATTTAAAACAGTTATGCAATCGTATCAACAACTCTTAAACCAAATATTTACAAATAAGCACGAATCTGTACTTGATTATTGGAGAAAAAAACTAGTCGAGAGAAAATTGTTCTATATGCTTAAGCTATTTAAATGAATAAGGTCACAAACCAGAAAATTACATGTGATTGAGAAAAGTCAGTCGATTATAATATTAATGTGAAGCCTGACATATTTTTACGAAAAAAACACACAACAGAAATGCGTACGTTTATGTTTGATGAATTGAACATTTAACATAAACTAGTAATCAGCGTTAAGTCTAAAAGGAGAATAACTGGAACATAAAGCTTAGGATAGAGTTAATTGGAGATTTTTGGTTGATGATTAATATTCAACGAGGGGTAACAGACGTAAGTAAATAAGCAATGACAGAAAAACATCCGAAAAATGTTTTTTTTAAAATAAAACTGAGCTAAATAACTAAACTATTGAAATATCTAATTTATATTATCATTTCAGTTTATAATCTAATCTAATGATTAGAATAATAAAAAGTGTATAATTAGTTAAAATGCATCAATATTCGCAAAAACTTCTAAAGAAAATATACATTACACGATAGATTTCTAAACGATACATTTTTTTCTCATTATAGTATATTTTTAACTGAACAAATTTTATAATCTTAACCATTTTTTTTATTTCGGGGACAAAAAAAAAGATTACTTTGATTACTAGAACAAACATACACATATGTCAGCTATGGCACAGTTATTCACCGTAGAGAATAGATGAAGACTGCGCAATATCATGAGTTAATTGAAGTTATACATTGACACTGTCGGTTACCGGTTCAATGATCTATAGGTTAAATGTTCGCACGCGAGACCGAATGTCCTCGATCTGATTCCAGGATGCGCGGGCATGTGAATGTATATCGCTAAGCAGTCTTATACTAGGACGAAACTGCCGTTCAGTTCCTCCAGGGTTTTCAATGATAGTCTGGCTAAGATCAATTGATGATTCAAAAACTATAATCATTAAGAACAATCACATGTTTAACAAGTTCAGCCTTCATTAGATGTAAGGCGGTGAGTGGATTTATCACTAACGAAACAAAATGAAAAAGAAGAAAATAAAGGTATACACAGCACCGAAAACAAGTTAAGTAGCATACCTGTAATATTAGCAGTTTGCATTCTTCGTCTAACAATATCTAGTGGATAAGAAGCAGTTTGTCCTAAAATTCCAGCCACTGCACCACAACATAAATTTTCAAATGGATACAGTTTTTTAGGCCGTTTACCAGTGATGGGATCTTTGTTTCTGTCTGAATAGAAAAGTAAATAAACATTATTTATGTAAATATATACAATACAGATTCTTACGACCAATTTATAATAATTACCACACATGAAAATCATAAAGTAACATCTGAACGATTGACTTGCATCAGTTAAACTTAAATATTTCAGTTAGAAATAAACACGACACTGAATAACACAGACAGAAAGAGAAAAGACAGTGGTGTTATTAGTAGCGATGACGTAATGTAAGATGCTTATGTTATGGGTGTTCTTATCCTTTACAAAGTGAAGTCATACTTTAATGGTAGACATCTTTAAATCATAGAGGATTCATTTTCTTGACATTGTGTGGGAGAAAACAATACATTATGGTTAGGTAAATCATAAAAAATGGATTTAGACGCAAATAGAAGACAAAACTTGGTCGAAAACTGAGTGATTAACTGATCTGGAGTTACCTACAGTGTGGTGGACAACACCAACAAACAATGAACCATTACACACATACAGGTAAAATAATTTTAGAACAATAGTTTTAGAAGAACAAGAGTTAAAATAAAGTGCTTGATAGGGAGGAATAAAAAGAGATGATCAATCGTAAATAGGTAAAGAAATGATATAAAAAAAGGACTTCTTACCTAAACAAGTTTCTTTCAGTGTTTCAAACGTAAAGAAAGCTGTCCCAGCATATGGGATAATACCGAGGAGAGCAGGGGAAAAACCACGATACAATGCACTTAATCCTTCTTCTGTATAAAGAGCTCGTATAGCATGAAAAAGACTAGAATATCTGAGTAAATGAACAAAAGAAATCATATATGGCGGAAGTAACGAAATACAGATCCATAATAATGAAGTATCAAACTACGGATAGTCTTTGCTTAGACAACAAGCAAAAACAAAAGGGTACTGACACAGCTAGTGTGAGACTCAGTAACAGTAAACATCCACAACCCTAGCTGGGGTCGAGCACGGGGCCTTCAGATTTCGGAGCGCATGTTTAACCTTCACAACACTACGTCGACAACCCAGTGGTTGACATTTTTAACTTCGGTTGCTTCGCGATATAGTGCAATTATTATCCACTGCCTAAACATAGCTAATCAGTAATAGGAAAACTCAAAAATCTTCACAGGTCCCTACAATAACGGTCATCATGTGATTACTGGTGACTAACCTCGAGGTAATTCCTAGAGTTTAAATGGAAAGTAGTAACCAGTAGTGTTCAACCTTGTTAGTAGTTAGACATATTAACAAAGGCAGTGCACGATAGTTGCGTAAGATCGTGAATTGTTTAACGTCAGAAATATAAACCAGGGGATATAAACTTAGTGATTCTGCATCCAATCACAGGTGGGACTGTGTATGTGCACTACTGACGTGACCTACACCGTGACGAAACAGCTATTCAATGCATTCTGGTTTCAAATGGTTGTTTAAACAGATATTTCATAATGTGAAACTTCAAATTCAAGTCTTAACAACACCCCACAAAAATAATAACAGTAATAGTTTTATAAATAACTAGTTTTAATGATAAATAGAATAACTTGACGGTAGAATTAACTCAACTAACGATCACAAGTACATTTACTCAAAGAAGTATACTGTTAAGTATACAGGTTTACAGAAAGAATCATGATAATTCATAGTTTTATTCCATTGACAAAAATGTAATTAGATCCTATAGATTTATGCTTATTCCATTGTGATCAAAAGTTAAGTTTTATGAGTAAATCTCCATGTTAACAGGATAGAGCATTGATTAGTATATGTCGGATCATGTTAATTGTTTTGTTTTCAACCAGTCAGGTATTACTGGATAGATTAAAAAGATAGAAGATTCCTATGCAAGTCATACTTAACATTTTACTACACAATATGTTCTTGTTTCAATTCTCAAATAGACCCATGTCTGCTTACAAGTTTCATGATGATTTGAGACTAGTCGAGTAAAGTATTTTGCTCAAAAAATACTAAGTAGTAGAGTAATCACAGTCCATTTAGCACTAGTAATATTTATTTTTCATAGATGGTTTCAAAGTTTTATTAATCAATTGTAAGTAACTTAACAATACAACCGTTCTGATTGTATTTTGAAGTTGTTTGTAAGGTATTAGATTGAGACATAAAGTTTATTGATCAGACTGCGAAGTTGTATCAACTTGTCAATTAGAATTTGTAGTACACATCCTCAACACACTATACTGGCTAACATGTAAATTGGTAGAAGAAAAGAGCTGGAACAAAATATCACAATAATTCACAGACGTTTATGTTAGAATCCGTTAGATAATCATGATCTATATTTAGAGACCTTGGATGATAGTGGGTCGATATCAATCGCAGTGGTATGGGTCTATTCATTTTTCATTTTCCTGTAGATTATTAGTTGAATATTACTATTATTATTTTATACCTCTTTTGCTTCAATTTCATCCGTTTTGTTTCACAAACTATGTATTCGTCATGCTTGATAATTTATTTGTTATGAATGGTACAACTATTGTTTCAACTCATCTAATTAACATTTCCTTAGCTATATATATATATACTAATTTAAAATAAGTTACAATGATTACATACAAATGAAAGCCAGTATATCACTAGATTTTAATAAATGTGGTTGTATTTTGTCTGGAGAGGTTTTGGGAATTAATTTAATTTATAGTTGGTACTGATCATGAATTAACTTCAGTTCGAATACTTTCGAAAAACTAAGGAACACTAGGTTACTGAGACTACTCAGAAGTGTATATTATCCACTGTTTCGTTAGGGTTAAAAGTTAGAACCTTCAAGTTTTGTATCTTAGATGTAGAATGGTTATCAGTTAGCAAAAAAAGATAATTAAAAGCAGTAATTAAAGGATAAAAGGTTGTTTAAAGATCTTCTTGTAAACAGTAGTGCACATGAACATATGGTCGGTAAAATCTTAATGCTTTGAGAAATTTAGGAAGATTATAATCTGAATAATAGGTTCCAAAGATATATCTTGTTGTGTATGGAATTAGTTAGGTTAGTCAGTCAGCTACAACGTAGGAATCGAAGAGGGAGATTGATTATGAATACAGTGATCTTGAGTACTGTTGAAATTATGAGGGCGATTATCACTTCCAGGTTGCTCACACCGTAAAAGGGTTCTTCGAGAGGTATCTGAAAAGGAAATCGGGTTAGAGATGGTCTTAGTGACCTAAGTAACCTAAGATAGGTTGGTGAACATGGACTAATTTAATCTTATCCTAGCTTTAAATATTTGACCAGTTTATAGTAGTTAAATCAGTGTCAAATTAATCTGGATATCAAATAATCATAGTTCACCGGGGTGATGGCAGTAGTGATATTGGTTATGATTAAAACACTTGACTTTCAACCAATAGATTCCGCATAATAACCCCCCCCTATTAGCATCAGTTTGAACAGTCAAGTAGTATTATTAGCTCCCGTACAAATAGTGTAGGTCAAAGTTAAGTAAATACTTTTGTACTTGATAAATGAATAGCAAGAGAATCATGCGCAAAAATCAATGTATCTCCGTAAAATAACTGGGTAATTTTAAAAAAGCAGTACATGGATGGATTTACTACTCATCCTTTTCTAGATCCTGTGTTTCAATACCTTTCCGTACATACCTTTGTTTGGACTGTATTCTCAATGTTCAGTCTTTATCGCAATCACTGTTACTATTATTACCTGCATGGTTATTTTATCTGATTATGTTTATATTGTATGGCAACATGAGTCAACATGAATCTGTACTAGGTTCTGAGTTTTATGGCCAACTCCCCAAGGTAGTTGAATCGGAGTTTGAATCTATAATCGAATCGAGTGATTAAACCATTAAGCCATTGCGCCTCGCGTTAATCAAGTATCTTAACTTATCCCGTTAAATCTTTAGCAATAAGTTACTACAAGTTGGAATTTAGATATCATGAGTTCATGCAAATGTACCATAATTTTAAAAAATCAGCAACGTTTAAACAGAAAACACTACTGAATTTTCTCGTGACCTTATATATATATATATATATATATATATATATATATATATATATATATATATATATATATATATATATATATATATATATATATATATATATATATATATATATATATATATATATATATATAATCACGTGTTTATCATATGCTTATACGATCATTGATATATATTAAAATAGGTTACGAATAAAGATAGTGAATAGGATAATCTGTTGTAAATATAATTACGATGGTGACTGAAAGTAGATCATTTAATAAGTTGAAAACCTTATCATACTAAATTAAGTGATTCTGAAATAGGTTGTCAGCAAGAAAATACAAACATGGCTTCATTTTTAGATTGACACCGAAGACCACTGAACAACTTTTTGATTCTAGGCTGAGACTTTTTAGAAATTATGTACACTAGCGATCCTGATATGTTATCACAACTTCTCGATACCAGAATACAACTATTACGCTATCGCATAGCCCCGATTACTCTAAAACACAAATCTTATGGGGAAGATTAGTTTGCTGAATACTAACGAATAATACTTCACGTTCGAATTCATCCTATTATATACCAATCGCATTCAGTGATTATGAGTTAGAAAGTTTGTCACATGAACAGAAATCACCTTTAATAAATGTATGAATCTTAAGATTGACTTCATAGTACGCTACATTTGAAAATTTAACGTGCCCTAACAAACCCAAGGCACGAGTGCCGAACTCAAGATCTTCATGTTTTGCTGAGACCATAATATAATTATTGTACTACTGAGTCAGTATTCAACAGTGTGCATACATTTTGAACAAGCTCAATTCACAATTTATAGTGATTTCATCATAATAAGTAACACCGGCGATATTGTGTCCCATCCATATATCTAAAACCTATGTTCCTGGATATGAGCACAACTAATATCTAGTTATGTTAAATTCAATTGAAAATGTACACCTCAAACAATAAGACTTATCTAAACCACAACTATTTACAGCCCACATACAACTCTGTGTGACAATTTTAGACAACTGATAGAATGAGTTAGGCATCTCGACAGTATTCTCATTTGCCATAAATAAAAATTTGAGTAATAATTCTAAACAGAAGAATCACAAACGGTCGACTGGTTGATCAGCTTAAAAAGAATCCAGCATAAATGGTTAGAATAATGACTTTACTTAGGTAATAATTCTATGCATAAATTAACATCTATATTGGAGCCGAAAAATGAGTATTTAGGAAGATGTCAATCGCTTTAAATTCCTATTGAGTTCTAACTTTAAATATGCTACACAAACCAGTCGGTAAGACAATTTTAAAGATTACACAGTGGAGATAACAGTGCGTTGAATAATGATAAGTGAGAGAAAAATATGTTAAAGTCAAACTGATCAATTAATCAATTTTTTGCTGCATAGGGTAGTAATACGAAGAGTTGGATAAGCTTACAATGAGGAAATGAACTAAAAAACCTTTATCGAACCGAATATTTATTCACTTGGATATTTTGAGTTGACTATCAACCCCTCTCACACCAGTGAATAATAGGCGAGAAAAACCTAGTTTCCTAGTGATTTCTGAGAGAATGATATTATCAAGAATGTTTTGGTTTAAATTGCCCCCGAGTGTCTGGGTACGGCTGAGAGTAAGGAGAATCAGCTCTCACTCTCAAAATGCTCTCACATAGCCACGTGCATACAACCACTGCCAGAGAAGTCCTACTCACTGCCTCCTCGTGGCTGCGGCGTTATTCACGAAATTGCGAGGACGAAAAGCGAATGTCCGGAGCTTTAACCGGGTCGGTGGATATGGAGGATCCACCTAGGGGAGTTGCGAAACCTTGATCCTAAACCAATAATGTACATGGGCTCCACGTTCCTGAGGGAACAAATGGTATATGAACCAACTGTTAGTCACTGACTACCATGGAATTGCATCTCTTGGCGTTGCTCCATTGTCTTGTGGATTAGACCTTTAGGTCAAAGGCTCGGGGTGTGGCTCCCTGCTTCGGTTTGTGTAGCCGGCCAGTATCCCAGCCCTCACACAAGTCGAGTGATTTGTAGGGCGCATATCTATTTGGTGCCTCCGTGTACCAATATTGATGCTTAAATAAATAAATAAATTCAACTAAAATTACTCAAGAAGACGTATCTATCGAATATTTATGAATAAATAAAGAAAAAATGTCAAAATCGAGACCCGATTTAAGTTAAACCACCACTGAAAACCTGGCAGCACTGGACGGCCGTTTCGTCTTAGCATGTGATTCTTTAAAAGTGCGCATTCACGAACCCATCACAGGCTACAGAACCCAGGAACTTCAGTGTTGCGCTCGAGAGTTTAACCCCTGAACCACCAAGCCGACATTCGGAGGTGTTAAGCGTTTGTGCGCGAGATCGGAGGTCCTGAGTTCGATTGCCGCGTATGTAGTTGAGAGTGGACACAGCTGGGGAGCCCCATACTAGAGCAAAATGGACTTTCGGTGTCCCCAAATTTTGGTGAAACCCTACAATCTCCATATCCAAATACTGGCAAAAAAATACATTCTATCCCAAGGTGGGAACTCTGAACCATTTGTGAGAGTTTTCTTTCTATAAACTGTGGTAGTATATTGCGAAGGTCAATTACATTAAAGCACAGGAGCTTAGAAAAAAAGGGTTTGTAAACATGAATGATTTTAATTTCAACAAAATGTCAATCAACTAACTTGGAAGCAGTTGTAACTGCCATACGTGCTCTAGCAACATCAAGTGGGTATGTACAGGTAACCGATGTTGTCCCAGCTCCAACACCAGCAAGAAATCGTCGTAAACGTATATACGAAATATCTCTATACATCAAAGGAAAAATAGAAGCTAATGAATAAATATAGCAAAACTAGAAATGTACGGAGCTAGGTGGAAATTGTATCACGAATCAAACTGCATAAACTCGTCTACATGCAACCTTGAACGACCTCTATTCATGGGCATAAAAACTCATAATAAGTAGACCAGAGCAACGAAAGACGTTAATTGGCGAGAAACAAGTAGTTCTCAGTATTAATTTTGACGTTTCGTCAGCTACCAAGCTATTAAGGTTCATTGGAGTATAGAGAAAAAGCAAACAATCGACATAACCTTTCTTCTCATAAATAAACTAGGCAGTGACATAAAGCAGTTGTGAAACAATATTTTGCCATCAGATCCAGAGAAATAGATCCTAAAAATTCCTTGATTACAGGGTAATGCATTTAAATGATTCTACATTTCACTAGCGTATTATTCAAAACAATGTTATTTGTTTATTCGTCGTGTAAATGGCTAATGTTTGAGAAGCTGAACGAAGTACCCGTTACTTCCAGAAATAAATCAAGATGAGGAAAATCTCCAGACAATAGAAATTTCTGAAAGAAAAGAGATAGAACAACTAGTCTTAGAAGTATACCCATAATGGTTATAAAGTGAAGTTAAGCAGTACGCGAACTGTGATAAGGGCTGGGGAAAATCTTGAGAGATTGGACGATTCAAAGTCAATAAACTGTCCATCTTTCTTTTGTAGACCCTTTGAAGTAAATACGCAGTCAAAATATTGTACCGAACTGGTTTGAAATTACATTTTCCAGAACTTCAAACAGATACACTTCTTATTTCCATAGAATTTATCTGTCATAATTACATCTGTAGAGGACCAGAAAACGAATTTTCTGACGTAGATATTACTATTGTAGTTCTCCAATGAGGATCTCATCAACAACTGGAGAGAAGGGAAGCACCCGGTTTCAAATATGAAGATGGCATCATGCGCATTAGTGTGCTGTGTTCGATTGCGGCTAAAACTACTTGAAAATAAGTAGATGAAAGGCCACTGGTCTTATAACTGTCGATTTGACCGAACTTCACAAACATAAGTTCACGTGTGTCTACTTAAGGCATACTACCGGGCGACTAAACACTTGAGTAATATGGATATAGAGATTAGCAATCGAAAGAATACTTTATTTATTTATGAGACATTCACAAGGAGTATGTTGTAAAAGACATCAGGAAACTCACGAATGGCTAGTTGAACCAATCCCAAGTAAATGTTTGTAATGATCATGAGCAGAGTACTGAATAGCAGAATAAGGAAAAATTCTGGCAAGAGTTGCAGTGTGACCACGCCATAAGCACATGAAACCTTGTTCTTGGTAAGTGTTTTTGAGAAACTGAATAAGACTCCGAACATTAAACGGCATTCGAGTAGCTAAAAAGACCAAAATAAGTACGAGAGCCTTACACTGAAAGTTTATCTTGGCTCTGTCGAGTGGAGCAATTGCTGTCTTTGCAACACATCCTGCTAAACCACCTGTCAAAATATTTATGCCGATTGGGACACGATGACTTGACTTTATGTTATTCGTAAATAAAAAAGTAAAGATTAAAACTCACATCTTCAGGTTTAGTAGCAGGATGCATTAATATGTTTGTTATGAGCTTCCTATATGAGACGTAAAAATCTGAAGAGCCAACCAAACATCATGACCTTCAGTTTCAAATATTGACCAGTCCTACAATGATGAATGTTTCAGTTTACAGTTTACAGTTTGGGAAGGACAGGAGGCTCGATGGCCTATGTTAGTCCTGGGAGTGGTGGTCTCTCAGTTGATCCAACTTTCTTTTGAAAGAGTCGACGGATGGAGCCTCAACCACGTGCTGAGGTAGTGAATTCCACTCGTTGATGATTCGATGGGAAAGTCGATAGTCAGCTGACAAGTAATTTGTTCTCGGCTTATGAACTTTTTTGGAGTGTCCTCGTAAATTCTCTGTTTTGGAAGACAAGAAAAATGAGGGCATATCAGGTGCAAATTTACCACTAAGCAAATTGTAGACTGTAATCAAGTCGCCTCTAGTTCTGCGATATGACAACGGGAAAAGGTTCAGCTTGGCCAGTCGAGATTCATACGGAAGCTTCGCTATTCCGGGAACCAGCTTAGTCGCCTTTCTCTGAACCTTGTCCAGAAGCTCACTGTCTTTTTTAAGCAGGGGCTAGCCGCTTGTATGCAGTACTCAAGTTTAGGACGAACGAACACGGTATACAAAGTCAAAAACGTTTTAGCGTCGACATGACTAAAATCTCTACGTATTGACCATAAGGTTCTAAAAACTTTGGCGGCTATTGCACGGCAGTGTGCAGTAGTCTTTAAGTCTTGACTAACGATAACTCCTAAGTCACTTTATGTCTGGACGACAGGTAGCTCAATGTTATTCATCGTGTATGTATCTGTGCCTTGATGACCGACATGTATCACAACACACTTGGAAGCATTTATCGGCAACTGCCATGTTTGAGACCATTCAGATAACTTCTTCAGGTCATTTTGAAGTTCTAAGCTATCACTCTTACATCGTATCGTTTTCCATATCTTGACATCGTCAGCATATAGCAAGACCGATGATAATAGGAGACAAGGAAGGTCATTTACATACACGAGGAATAGCACTGGCCCCAAAACTGTACCCTGAGGCACCCCACTAAGCACAGTTTCCCAGCTAAATAACTTAGAGTTCACCCTTACTAAGAAGTCTTTTATCCACATCAATAAATTGCCTCCAATCCCGACTTTTCTTAACTTATATAACAGCCGGTTGTGCGGAACTTTGTCAAAAGCTTTACTGAAATCAGTGAAGGCGACGTCTACAGGTAGCTTTTGGTCTTTAAGAGCGCACCAGCTTTCACGAGCCACTAATAAGTTAGTGAGACAAGAATAACCTATCCCGAAGCCGTGCTGCTTCTCCGAGAGGATCCGGTTTTTATCGAGATACTTGAACAGCTCCTTCCGAATAATCTTTTCTAAGATTTTAACAACCACACTAGTTAGGCTAACGGGGCGGTAGTTCTCAGGTTTGTGTTCCGTGCCTGTTTTGAAGATAGGACTTACTATGGCGTTTTTCCAATCTTTCGGTAAGTGACCCTGCGTAACGGATAGGTTAAAGCATGTACTTAAAGGGCTTGCAACGAAGTTAGATAATTCCTTCAGTAGCCTAGGATGTAATTCATCGGGCCCCGTGAATTTACCTATGTCAAGCTTATTTAGCAGACCAAAGACATCGAGTTCTTTAATGGTCACGCTATCCAGTGTATATATGGTGGGATCTGTATACGCTGACAGGAAGGGCGCTTCTATGGTACACTTGAGCCTTACCAAAGTCGTCCTCCACTAATGATGAAGCAGTACTGTCTCCCCGTAGAGCAGGATTATTTCCTTTTCTCCTTGTCCTTTGGTTTATATAGGAATACAAGCGTTTAGGACATTCTATGGATTCCTTAACAAGTTCTCCTTCGGACAGTTTTCTAGACTTACGGAGGGTCGAGGCACAAGTATTCCGAGCCTTTCGATACTGAGATTTTGACTCATCAGTCCCCAGTAACCTAAATCTATCCCACGTTTTCCTTTTCTTACGGAGAAGGATACGGACATCCCTACTGAACCAGGGTGGTGAGTTTTTCGGCTGCTTTTGTATAGTCCAAGGGATGTGAGGTGTGGTAACTTTCAAGTATGAACTTCGAAATGCGTCCCAAGCCGTTTCAATGGAGGACTCTGGGTCTATTGTCCAATCTATTAACGATGCTGAATGCATGATGCCTGGTATGTTTGCTTTCCAGACGTTGGGTCTGGACTGGACTGACGCGTGCTCGTGACTGGCAGTTATACGGAAGTCGAAAGTTAAAAGTGCGTGGTCACTTTTACCTAGGGGTGGCATATGATGGAGGTTCGCAACATCATCCTCATAGTGAATCAGTATAAGATCTAATAAGGATGATTCAGTGTCCGGATCGTACCTTGTCGCTTCTTTCACATGTTGCACTAGAGCACATGTGATAACCCCATCAACTAGTTCCTGCTCGAAAGAATTCTCCGACGATTTAGTTCGCAGATTTTCCCAGTCTACCATAGGTGCGTTAAAGTCCCCTAGGATTAGACATCGACCACTTTGGGACCAAGTATTGAGACTGCTTAACAGGATCTCATTTGCCTCACAGCTTGGACTGCGATGGACCAAACCAATCAGCAGCTCTTGTCCCTTGCATTTTAAGCGAAGACTAACTAATTCACACGTCCCACTCTCATGGGATACACTATCGATAATGGTAAATGGAATAGCATTCCTAATGAATAGAGCTACTCCCCCTCCTTTGCGCTTTTGTGTTCTGTCGGCCCTTACTAACGTAAAACCCTCGAAATCAAGTTCCATACTATCTATAGCCTGTGTCAGCCAGGTTTCTGTTACTGCGATTATGTCTGGCTTCGTAGAGTCAATCTGTACACCTAGTTCCAATCGCTTATTAAGTAAGCTTCGCGCATTGGTGTAACAGATCCGAAGCCTGTTTAAGTGCCTTCGTGCTTCACCCAGAGTGGCTTTGGCATCATTCTCTGTCGAAGTCTTACAACCCGAAAATTTGAAATTTTCAGGTCCTTTTCGCCAGCGTCTAACCTAAGATTTAGTACTTTCTCGGCTTCCCGTCTTTTAACACGGTCTGCCAACGGTAGGTCCTTTCAGATAAAGACTCCTGAACCCTTTAATTTGTGTCCACTTTGTAAAATTAGGTAACGTTCGTTCGAAGAGCCGAATACTACTTTAAGCAATCTGGAATGATTTGGTTTCGAGTCCGCTAGACTCCCTAGTCGGTACACCTTTAGCAAGGTGACCCCGGTCATATTTTGAGGCATGAGTTGATTAAGCAGCTGCCTAATCAGTACAATGTCATTCTCAAAACGAGCTTTAGGTTCAGAGCTCTCGCTCTCCTTGATTCTGAAAAATAGCTGATCTGTCGCTATGACCAGCCTTCGATTTTTCAACTACTTTTACGGAGGCAGGGTTCCCTTTTATATCAATACTTTTCTTCCTTACAACCTTTACCCATTCGTCAACGGTGCTGGTAGAAGCAATAACAGTTGCGTCAAACCTAGTGTTGGGTTTCGGGGGGTTGTCGACGACCTGAGAGGTCGAGTTATGTTTACCGCTTGAGACCGATCGAGCCTTGCGATTGCGGCTTCTAGGTGTTTCCTGTTGGATCCCATCTGGGAGACGGGGAACAGAAGACCCTACTTTTCTTGAGCTTTTGTTTAAGGCAGGCCCCTTTGGAGACTGCTTTTCCTTCTTTGACCGGCGTGAGTCATCTATCATCGGACCAACCTTAGTTTCCTTCACGTTGATTTGCGTGTCGACAGATCGAGTGCTGTTTGATGCGTTCCGACTATGCTTGCTAAAACACTTCTTTGCAGCATCAACCAGTGAGGTGGCCTCGGTTAACAAGCTGTTTGCATCCGAGCAGCACTGTTGACAAAGCCATACACAACCCTTCTTACTGAACCGTTTGAAAGCAGCAGGCGTTAAGTTCGTGCAAACTTCGTGGTACCAGCCTTTGCACTCGTCGCACTGCATGCCGCTTTCAACAAGATAACGACAACCCGGACGTTGGCAACTGCTTTTTTTACACTGTCCGGTCATTTAGGAGGAGTACTTTTTCAAGATGCGATGACACTCAGAAACAAAAAAAATAATCAATGACCAAAAAAGTGAGAAGCTGTAGATTGCTAGGACCAAAAGTACTAACAGATACACTTGAAAAAAAGGTACTCAAGAGTACCAACGACTTTCAATAATCTTTACAGTTTATTTCACTGTCAATAGCCAGGTTATTACTGAAGACGCTGGTAATTGTTACTGATAACATGTGTTTCAGTTACCATTCAAAATGACGTATATGAGAAGGTAGGACCAGTGAAATGTCACTGAGCCCTAGACAAATCATCCGGCGGTTGGATCACTGAATGTTGAACAGATCATCGCTCCATGCCAAAGTCAAGTACAACCAACGCGCATTAGTTAATCATACGCCATGGACTGGCCCATGCGACATTGGTCTTACATTCAGACATAAAATCACCTACGTTGGTGATCTACAAGAATAATCACGTGCTTAAAGTTAACAGGATTTAAAACAGGTGTCCAGTACTTTGAGATTTTAATTTAAGGAAGAAACATATGATTATAGTCTCCACGAAGATGGTAGCCCATAATACCAAACGATCCCCCGAACCTTAAGATGATATTCAGTAAACCTTAACAGTAACAGTGGCATTCATTATTTTGGAAAACAATATATACAACTTATGTATACAAGTGCAAGTACAGGCAGTTATCAAGCAAACTGAATTGATCTACTCTTTATGTTAATAGAAAGTTGTTCTTCGTTCGGTAGAGACATTTATTATATTTTAGTTCGAATTCTTTACAGTCTGATCGTTTAATGCCGTAAGGTTTGGTTTTACTAGTGAAGATGTCACTGGTATTTCGAGTTTGACAACGCTTTAACCATTACCACCTTCTACTACGAATCGTATCCACCAAGTGAAATCAAAAGATAGAAGCGAGGAGGTTTGATGATATATTTGATAAACTATCAATATAAC